TTTACTCTGTGTGACTTACTTTCTTCTTGAACTCTATAAATATAATTATTGAAAAAAGTTCCTGAATATTAGAGCAAAAAAAAAAAAAAAAGCTATGTTTAAAATCACTGGTCAAATGGCTGGGTTCAGTACCTTATCTGTGTTTAAAAAACAAAAACAACCCTGAAAACAGACTTACATATAACAACTTGGTGAAAACAGCTGCAAAGCATTTTTATCTCCTTAATCTAGGTCAGCTTTGCATAACATGTGGAGGGGAAGGAGGAGAGTCAAGAGACAACCCTATTAGGGATTAATTACCAGTAAAAGTGGTCACTGGACTCCAGTTGGAGTGAGACACGAACAAAAGTATAATCAATTATGAAAAAAAAAAAGCATATAAAAGGCACAGCAGTCACCTGAAAGGCACCAGCATTCCTGTATACAGTCTGTATCTTTCTTTAAATCATGAAACACCTTCATAGGCCAAAGTAGTGCTGCACTCCATTCCCCAATAAAAGAAGGTGTAAATCTGCAAAATAATGCTGATCTATTTAATGATATAAAATGGTGAAGGGGTAGGGGGAGGGCACAAAATCCTCAAGTCTGCAGTAATATAATACTAACTTCACTACCACAACAGAAGGTGCCTGCAGAATTTGAGCCCTTGATTTTAATGCTGCCTTCCTTGCTTTCTCCTGAGAAGAATGCCACGAATCTGACAGCAAAACAGCTTTACGCTGAGTACACACAAAGTGACACAAAATATTTTATTGATGAATAATAGTATCCTGTGAAATTGGTATCTTCCCCTCTATCTCAAGATTTATCTTAACATTGAAAAAATCTGCCTGTTGATTAAAGTTGTCAGACTTTGATTTAAATTGATTAAAGATGTCAAACATCAGTAAAAACAAAAAAAATACAGGAAATTGAAATAATCTTTCAAAAACATTACTTATTTAGCACTGAAAGCACTTAGCACTATTTAGCACTTATAACTTAACTACTTAAGAGTAAAGATGCATCAAAAAGAAATGACTCAGCAGATAGGGTGCGAGTGGTCATATGTCTTTGCATATCATATCAGGAAACTCTTCCCTGTTGGTAAGAAACAAACCACAGGGGAACAGGACAGAGAATCAGAGTACTATTTTATTATTTTAAAAAAATAAAATAAAAAATCTACACATTTCACGTATGCAGAGCCACGAAGACAGTGGCCCAGAGATAACAGAAAGGTAAGCCAGAAAGCAGAGTCGGGCAGAGGGACAAGGAAGCCGGATGGCATCTGGCTCTGCAAGACAAGAACCTTATTACAGAGCTGGAGGAAAAGAGCAGACACTCAAAGGGCAAACACACACACAGGAACTACAAACCGGTTGTAACAAACTGATCATACTAGCAAACGTGCCATTATCAGCTGCAGTCAAATTAAGAGAAATTAAGCAAAAACAAAAGAACAAAAAACACTTGCAGCTTGAGCACAAGGAGACAAGGAAACAGCCTGCACAATACCCGAGAATAACACCACACAAGCATGCCAAATAATACACTTCAACATTATTTGCTCCTCTCTTTCTATCAGAGATCCTATCAACAAGCCTGTTGAAAGGATCGTTACCCAACATTTAGCCAAGTTTGAAATTTATGTAACAGCTGACTTCAGCAGAATATAGATGCTTTTATTTATTTATTTATTTATCGACAACTGGGTGGTAAAGGGTAAGTCTCAACTGGTTAAGCATGCAGCTTTAAGATTACATAAATAATTCATGATTTGATAAGGAACCAGATGGATGTTTCTTTTTCAAATTCCCAAGATGTGTCAATAGTTGAGAGTTCTTTTGTAGTGTGTAGTTGCCATACACACTAAATATGGAAGTTGCAATTTTTGCTTCAAATACCTTTGATTTAGACATTTTTCTGATTATGAGAAAACACGTCCTCATTAAAACAAGAGTCTTCTACAGGACTATGATAAAAGATGAATCTGAGCAACTGATTAATCTTTCAAGGAGGAAAGGCTTGCATGAACTCATAATACTCTGAGTGTTGGCAACCCTAAAGAGATATTACAATATCACAAAAGAATGAATTAAACCCGGCAAAGACACAGTGTTTGCCCAGCACCAAGAAACATGACCAGAAGTATCAATGTATTGCTGGCCCCAAATCCAAGTACACGGACAAACACGTCAAGAAGAAAGAGGAAGTCGGACTAGATGCAGGATGTTGGACTAGATGACCTCCCTTGGTCCCTTCCAACCCCCTAAATTCTATGACTAAGAAAATTTCAAAGATCCCATTGAAAGGTTAAGGAAAGTCTTCAAATAAAAGAAATGCTTCATGAGAAGTGAGCTTTAAGAATTCTGATATTTCATGATTGACTTACTTTACAAAAGTAAGACCTTGACAATATCATCCCAAAGCAGACCACATCTTCCTAGAATTAATAATACTGAACATTTCTTGAAGATTTTTATCATTCCTTAAGAAGACCTCTACAAGTTGGCAACAGAAGCCATTACTTGTCCCCCGAACACAAGTGTATTATCATAAAACAGATAATTTCTCTCAACTTCATGAATTATCATCAAAGGCAGGAAAGGTTCCAACAAGAAGAAAAGTGTGACCGCATCTGCTCTCACATATGGCTGGTCACCACTTCATTGAAGTGGTGCATGAAAGTACAGAAGTAAAGCAGATCATAATCATACATGAATAATCCTGTGTTATAAACCTTTGAAGTTGACACAGTTGCACACTTTTCTATCAGTAAGATCACTCAAACACAACTTGGCTTAATTAGTGACTGCAGGCTAATAAAACCCAGTCTGGTGGGTATAAAGAAAGCCTGACAAAGTCCGTTTAAATATAAGTGGAAGCTTGAACTTTGTGTATATCCTTTTACCATTTTTCATCCCAAGCAACGAACCAAGGGAGACTACTGCAGTCATGTGTAGTGACATTGCACATATTGTCTATTATGTCACTCTACAAGAGGATCCTTTGAGTTTTTGCAACTTTATAGTGCTTTAAGTCAAAATTTCAGGTAATTCCAAAATTGTGATCTTTCCGAGTTAAATCTGTAATCGATACTAAAGATTTCTATTATTTGCTGCATATTTTTCAGTTGCCAACAGGAAACAGAAGTTACTGTGAAAGAAGGAGCAAAAGCATGATAGAGCTTCTTACATATGGGGAAACACAGAATACAATTTGGGTTTTGGCACTGGATGGAAAAAGCATCCCTTTTGAATAACTTGGTTGTGATAGAGGATAAGATGATTTGAACTGCTGTGGAGGAAAGCACTTCTCTGTTTATATCTTTATATACCAGCGATTCTTAACAGTTTTTCCTCCTCCTGTGTAATGGAATCTAATGCTGACTGATAAGAGCATTACCAAGCTAATGCTCTGTAAATAAATTAAGTAATTGGCTGCTGATTCCATCTTAGTTCAAGTTTTTTAAGTTTGAGAGCTGCCCTGATATTGCCAAATGGGACTGTATTTTTTTCAGGATGCCAACACTATTCCTGAAGTTTGAAGACCATTTTTCTAAAGACCACCTTCTCCAAACTAGTAATGTACAACTTCTGTACTACTTCACAGGAGAATTTGACACAGCAGTACTCATGGCAACAAAACACAGGATACTTCTTTATTTTTCCAAGAAATATGCTATCTTCACTGCACAAAAAGAAAAAATTATAATATAAGCCAAAGTAAATGCTGTCCTAAAAAACAGTAGGTTAAGAACATTGGTAGCAATAAGAAGCAAGAAAATCTTTGAATATATCCATAAATTCACCCTTTTAGGAATACATGCAATATTCCATTTCTTAAGAACCTAAGAGAAATGCACATTCAGCTTCTCATTGTGCTTTAAGCTAATGCTCTGTAAATGAATTAAGTAATTCGTTGCTGATTCCACCTTAGTTCAAGTTTTTTAAGTTTGAGAGCTGCCCTGATATTGCCAAATGGGACTGTATTTTTTTCAGGATGCCAACACTATTCCTGAAGTTTGAAGACCATTTTTCTAAAGACCACCTTCTCCAAACTAGTAATGTACAACTTCTGTACTACTTCACAGGAGAATTTGACACAGCAGTACTCATGGCAACAAAACACAGGATACTTCTTTATTTTTCCAAGAAATATGCTATCTTCACTGCACAAAAAGAAAAAAACAAAAAAATAATACAAGCCAAAGTAAATGCTGTCCTAAAAACAGTAGGTTAAGAACACTGGTAGCAATAAGAAGCATGAAAATCTTTGAATATATCCATAAATTCACCCTTTTAGGAATACACGCAATATTCCATTTCTTAAGAACCTAAGAGAAATGCACATTCAGCTTCTCATTGTGCTTTACATTCTGACCAATTCTCTTTTGCTCTGAGCTGGTAAAAGTGTAAAAAATGTTTCCTACACAGAAAATGCATCTATGCAGGACCCTGTTAAATTTCAGAACAGAATGACTACAAGTTATATCCCCTTAGCAAGTATGTTGTTAGTCTAACCTCTTAAATATTTGTTATATTTCACATGCTTAAAGAAAAATTCATAAATACTTTAAATGATTTTTGCCTGATTTGCAGATATTCTTTAAGATCAAACCTGTTTAAACAAACTGATCAGAACATTCATATGAACAGTAAGTACTTAAAAGTCACAAACTACTACCTTAGATGTAATGGAAGGTTTGCTTTAAATACACATCTTGATGACATCAGGGCTGGAACAGCAGTATCCACAAGAATGCTAAACAAGAATGTCGTTTTCAATGCAGAAAAACGTGCAATGAATTCCTCATTTGCTTTTAAATATTGATATAAAGTTGTGATAATGCTGCACTCAGAAACAAATGTTAGGGTCATGACCAGAGAAGTGGTTCAAAAACGTGTATGACAGAGCTTGTTTCTAGAATGGTTTTTTATGTAACAAAGTTCCTCTGCTAGCCTGATTTAATGCTTTATTTTTTTCTAATTATGCTGAAACATCAGTTAAGAGCCTACCTGATGTTTTGGAGAATTTGCTGTGCTGGGATTGATATTCCGCAATGCCTAAGAGTAAAAAATAAGATGGATAACGATTACTTTAGCTGCATAGTTTGGCTGTGCAGGCTGTCTAATAAACACCATCTTGTAGTATAAAGTCCCCAAGACAAGCCAGATGAGACAGGATAAGGGAGTTGAGAGTCCACAAAAAAAAAAAAAAAAGAAAAAAAAAGAAAAAAGAAAGAAAAAAAAATCATGAAACAGGGAAACAAAACTCGCAGCTTTACTAAGGATGAGTATTGACAGAAAAGCTTAACGGCCAGGGAGAACAACACGAGAGGAACTCACTGTCACCTTGTCCAAAGTTAGTCAGGTTTCTTAATGACAACTGAAGCAAGAAGAAAATTAGAAGGCCTACCTAGAAGCATGCTAGCATAGTGTAAAACATTTGTTGGTGGATTAATAGCAAAGCAGGAATAGCAGAAGCCCAGGTGCTTAAGCAGAGAGCGAAACTCCTGATGCCATTTTTGCAGTGTGTTTTTTATTTGGAGTACTACAGGAAGCATCGGGTTTTAAAGATGACCCATCTTATATCAAGAGATGCTAGAGATTCCTAAACACAAACCTAGAGCACAAAAAGGATAATGGGAGCCAGATTCCAGGACAGAATACTGAAGAAAGAAAAAAGTTGTCTTTTAAGATGTCTCCTCTCCTGATACAAAGCCCATCACCCAAAGTGAAGAAGGGAACAGAGTAAGATTTTTAAAAGTTCATTTTCCTAAAAGAGAAGATTAGTGCTTTCTCTGGCAGTGTCAAAAATAAAGAATATCCTAAGCATCTAGCACAGATGGTAAAAATCTTTTCTAATGAAGCAGAGGATTTAAATAAAGTTAAAAAGAAGTCTGAGGTGGAACTGAAAATCCAGAAATCCCAATATCCAGCCCTACCCTCTGTCACTCACTATGGTTATATTCATGTACTAGAAAAATTCTGAAAGGAAGAGTTTACAGCCTAATTATGAAGTCTGAAATTCCTCATAATAAGAAAATCACAGCTTCAGAATCCAGCGTGATTCAGTTGTTCCATACTCCTCTGTTAAACAGATGAGATTTTAGTAACAAGGTGTCTCCTCAATGCATCACATACAAACTTGAAAAGTACTTTGGAATCCTGCAGCCTGTGACACATTCTAAAAGGGAAAGACTTCCCTCCGCTTCAAAGGCAGAACCAAAGCAGCTGTGGGAACCAAACTTTCTGCCTTTTTGCATGACTCAGAACTCAATGAATGTGAGAGAGATTCTCAAGAGGAATCTCCAATCAGATCAGCAGTCCATGATGTCATCCTACTAGTAAGGCAGCCTGCTCTTTGAGAGTTTTGTTAGACAGGAATGAGGGAGGAAAGCAAAACGCTTCTGTCTCATAAATCGGACACTTTCACTACCAGGCTGATACCAGTAAACAGAAAAAATTAAGACTTTTTCACATCTTAAAGCCTTTTGTACAGTCTCTAGTTTTTAACGCACACTAGAACAACAACTTAACCAGAACAATAAAACATAAAAATAAATAGTGGAAGTAGGTGTCTAACCTGCGGCCTCACCTGCCGAAGCAGTTCTTGATGCTTCAGTCTCAGCCTTTCCTTCTCCATCTGCAGCTGCTGCAGTCTCATCTGCTGCTGCTGATTGGAGCTGCTCCCACCCATCACGCCAGCCTGGGGGCTCTGCGGGGCCAGCGGGGGCGGCTGCTTCACTGGGGCGCTTTGGCTGATCCGCTGATTCATAGCTAAGGAACCAAAACAAGAAACATTTTAAAATTAAGTTCAGAAAAATGCTTGCGAGCAAAATAGTAGGCCTAGACAGCGTACGTTAAAAAACTTGTAACACATCACGAACTATGACAGTACAGAACATGCAGCTATGCACGGATGTCCACAGAATGGAAAACGTTCTGTTCGCAGTTGAAGCGACATTCTCAGGTTAAAGAATATAGGGTCCAACTCTGAAAAGAGCCAAACTTTTAAGATGGTAAGAAAGAAAGTCCCTGAGAAAGTCCAAACTAGTGATAAAATATTTCAAGTGTAATTAGAATAATTAATTCTCTCTTATTCTCTTCTTTTTAATATACTTTTCTTGACTTAGGTGCAAAAAAAAAAAAAATACAATTTACTTATTCAGGTGAATTCTTAGTATCCTTAAGCTCTGTAACCCACTGAATACCAAAACAGACGGTCTCCCTTATATCCAGCTACATTTGGTTACAGGCTACATTCCTCCATCTGTGCTGCAGCTCATGCATCAACCATTCACAATGTTTCCACACCAAGTTTTGAGTGTGACACCAACTTCATTTGGAGCAGCGTGAGATGAAAAACTAGGGATGGTGCAGAAATGGCAGGTAAATAACACAGGCAGAAATATTGCCATCAGCACATGGCATGTGTTTTGCTGACGCTTCTTCCCCTCCTCTACCTCCCCTGCAAGGTGTGCAGGGCATCTTTTCTGGGGTGGAAAGAAAAAGCTTATTCCTATATAACTAATACATAATGATGACTCATCTCCCCTTTTCCCATGAAAGCAAGATCTAAGGTAAATTTTGTTTCATAAAATAATGTATAATTTGGACCTAGCTACTTGACAGACCTGATTTTTCCCTCACAAGAGACCTGCTGAAGGTCAGCAGATGCCCTGGAGTCCCTGTAGTGGCACACAGGGCTTGGGAAAGGTGAATGTGGAAGGACATTGCTTTCAGGAGCTTTCAGTCCTAGAATTAGCTCCCCATCCTGTTCTCTGGGAACAGCCCGAATCTGCTAACACTTAGAACATGTTGCAAAACACATTTGCTGGCGCAGTAATGGGAGAGTGGTAGGGATTTTTTTTATTATTTTTTTCTGGGAATGAGGATTATGGTTTATGGGAACTAAGGAAAGGCAATGAGCTTCTTTTAGGATAATGGGTTGTTTTGGTATAAAAACCACATCTGTTATCTTAGTTTGAATGAATTCATCATAGAATAGGATTCCTAGAACACTAACATTTTTAATTAATATAAGCAAAAAGCATTATCTTGTAAAGATTCTGTATCACCCTTTTCCTTTAACTCAACTCAGCGTGCTCCACTCACAGCCTGTAAAGTACAGACGTGCCTTTCTTTTGCTCCAAGAAATTCTACATAGTTTTAACCATCTCATAAAAAGCAGTAAGAAGTGCTGTAGCCTCACAGTCTTGCTTCCTTTCCCTTGGCACAACTGTTCACCAGTTCATCTTTCCATTGAGAGGGAACATATGAAGAAGAAATACTGTTTTACTTGCTGCAGGGAGAACGGAAAGGGAAAATAAAAAATCCCAACCAAGAACAGTGACTGACTTAACTCTCCAATCTACATTTTTAACCATTCTATAGATCAGGCACACAGTCAACAGTCTAAACTAAACATAGTTCTATTTTCATGAGTCCAATGTGAAAATAAAATGAAGTATTATATGTCTAAAGAGATAAGTGATCTTTTATGGAGTTACTTGTGAGAGCTTTGTACATATCACAAATAAGATAAAATTTCCAGCAAGACAGGTGAATGGATGAAGTAGAAAATAGCAGAAAAAGGATCCCAATGTCAAGTAAAAGCAACAAAATGAATGCTCAGGGGCAGGAGGGTCAACTCCAACTGGAAGTTTGATCCTGATGGAACAAAAAAATAACTACAGGAAGTCGAAGAAGCTGTGAATAAAGCTTAAAATTAAGCAGTTGTTCTTAGAAGACATCCAGTACTTCATCATCAAAACTGAACTTCAGCAAGAAAGTGATGGGCATCCGTCAACCACCCAGCTTTTCAACATGAACCACCCCTAGG